GTGCCAGTAATCCTATGGTTCTGTGGCTTAGCCGCGTTTGGGATAATCCTTGGCGTTGCCCCACACGCAAGTCAGGGACAGTCAGGGACACTTTGGGCCTTGCGGGCCCCATGTGTCGTGGCAGAGTGTCCACATGGGGCCTGCCCACGTGCTGAGTGGGGTCGGCCCCTCCACTGTATCTGGGGACTCCGCATCCCCGAGTTGGAGAAGCCCGTTCTGGCCCAACACCCATGGGACACGGCCTGACACTGACCACGTGGCCGCAGCCCCGAGTGCAGACGGCAACCAAAGCGCAGAACTGCTGTCACACGAGCCACATTCTCCAGCAGATGCCCCACCAGCTAGGAACTGACCACGGCAAAGCCCACGCCCGCCCCCACGTGGGGACAGCCCAGTCTGTGCTTTCTTCCGGCTCTTCCCGTCGTGGCTGGTCCCGCAGGTCCGAGCGTCGCAGGACGCAGGAGGCAAAGTGGACACTCTCGTCTCGACACGTCCACCTTTAAAGGGAACAGTGCTTGAGGCGTGTGGCTAATCGTGTGATATTTAGGGCTACGCTTTTCAGGTTAAAGAGTTTCCTCTTGATTCCTATTTTCCTAAGAGTTTTAATGAAACAGTGTTGAAATTTATCCAACGTTGGGGGCTGAGATGCTGGGTGGAGGTGTGAGGAGATGTTACTTCATTCTCTATCCTTTTCAGGACAATCACATCTTTCATAATTAAAAAAACATGCTTTTCACAGAAAGCAGCAGCTCAGACGCCCTTAGCAACAGCAGTGGGTGTGGGACACCAGCCCCACACAATGCTTTCAGACGATTTATGTCGAGTCTGAAATTGATTCAGAAAAAAGGAAACATGAGCCCATATTTCGCTGGACCATATTTGATGATAATACGGGTCATATATTCATATAACGTAAAAAGTGCTCCTACATGACTGGACATGTGTCCCCTAACTATTAGTTTGGGGCCAATGCCATGATCAGTAGGTTTCTACTTTGCTGTTTCACTACCTTGAGAGTTGATGAGGCCTTCTGTGAAATGATGTTCACAGCACGTGTATGCTGCCCTGTATGATACGGATAATAACTCTTGTATTTAAATGAAATAAAAACATTAACATTATTTCTAACACGTCAGCTCTGCTCGCAGAACAGGGGTAGAGCCTTTAGACTGTGAAGTCACATCGTCTGGGTTGAAATGCCAGCTTACTGGCCCCGTGCTTACCGGCCCCGCGCTCACCGGCCCCGCGCTCACCGGCCCCGTGCTCACCGGCCCCGTGCTCACCGGCTTCGCGCTCACCGGCCCCGCGCTCACCGGCCCCGTGCTTACCGGCCTCGTGCCTCGGACACTTGCTTCGTGTCTCCGGGCATCTATTTTTTCAGGCTTAAAACGGGACTAACAATGGCGCCCACCTCCTAACACTGTTGCGGGGATCACGGCCAACGAATGTGCCGAGTGCCTGCAGGCACCTGACAGTGAACAAAGGGTATCCCTGGACTTCAAGGGCGCCGTCAAGTTCTTTGTTTACATGATCTCCACTAAGCCTTCAGTGTTACGAGATGACCCCACTATTATAACTAGTTTACAGATGAGGTAATTGAGGCTTGGAGACATGAAAATTGTTTTAAAGGTTGTGGTTGTTTAATCTTTGCCTTATTAAAGCTGTCTCTCGTGTGTGCCATCTGCTCGACGTTACATTCCTGATTAGAAACACGGCCCTCGATTTCATCATTGTTCCCATGAGAAAATATTATCCACCTTGCAATGATTTACTGTGGTAGTGTTTTGGGACACAGACGAAAGCAAAACACGAATGGAAATGAAATGAAAAATGCACTAGATAGAATAAAATAAACCAAAATAAAACAGAGTGGAAGGAATTGCAAAGCCACACGTGACAGCAGGAAGAACGATGAGCTGTGGGTGGCGGCCCCTGGTTCTGCTCCTGGCCTCTGTCGCCACCTGCACGACAACAGGCCCTGGGGTAGGACCCGGAGACCCAGCCCCTGTGGCTTCCTTTCTCTGACCTGCCACCTTGGTGGATCGAAGCCAGCGATCTCCAGGTTCGCCTCCTGGTCTGATGTTCTCTTTATCAGAACCTGTGCGTGTTCACAGTTTCAGAGACAGTCAGGTGTTAACTGAACAAGCGTCAATGCTCGAAAAGTCTACAGGCTGACGTGGGGGATTTACGGCTCAGAGGCACCTACAACTTTCTAAGGCTTTTGCTCTGTCTTGTCTCCATGTGTTTGTTTTACATGATGTGGACGTTGGGGGAAAGATTTACCCTTTTTGGAAGGATAAGAACATGTTACTTTTGTTACAATAGCGAATACTCCCCTCCACGAAGCCCCGCCCTCACACTACACGATTTGGAAAACATCTGTAGCAGACGGCAAGGCAAATCCAGATGAAACTCATTATTCAATCCGATTAATCTCTTTCCTTGGCCGATGACACGGACTGTCCAGAGTCCCAATCTGTTGTAACTTTAATCAGTTTGGACCCCCTTGGTTTTAAAGTATCTGTGTCAGAAACAGTCACATTTAGGAAAAGATTTGAAATCTCTCCAAGTCCAAACGTGAAATGTTTTAACCGAGGTCCATCGGGAAGTAACATCTGGCAGGAGTCAGGGCAGCAGAGAAGGTGTTCAGAGACCTCGGTTCTGCGAGCAGAGCATCTTCCCCGGGGCCCGGGCAGCCGAAGCCGCCAAGTCTGTCTCGTGCACCCCAACTGTAGACAGAGGCTCAGGGCTGCCTGCACCCCCGGGGGGCGAGGCGGTCCGCGTGGGTGTGCTTGGCGGTGCTGAGTGCTGGCGGCTCACAGAGCCTCACCCTCCCAATCCCCGGAGCTCAGGCTTCTCAGCGCCGGCTGAGGAGCTGGGAATCTCTCCCTCACAGTCTGCAAATGGCAGAGCTGTTATCGGGCAAACTCTTTCTCCAAACCGGTTCACACTGGTATCTGCTATTTAAAAAAATAGTTAAACACTTGAGCAATCGCCGTGTCTGAGGGTTCAGCCGGTAATCTCTCACGATAGTAGAGGCAAATATTGTTCCTTTTCCCCTTTTGCTCCGTTCCCTCTGCCCTGGTCCCCTAGAGTTTCACAGTCTGGAAAGTCTGAAGCAGAAACGCAAGGCAATGACCTTTCACAGCTCAGGGGCCACGCTGGGCGGCTTCCTGGGAGATGCTGTAGCTGAGGGTCCCGGGGTGGGAAGCAGAGGCCTGGGCGGCTGGCCGGGGGCCGCTTGTTGCCACAGACGCGCTCTGACCTACTGCCCAGACCCTGCGTCTTCCTGCCTCCAAGGCTTGTTCAGACTCAGTGACGATGCCCCCCACCCCCCGCGTCGTGTGCCTTAGCGGGAACAGTGTTTTACCCAGACCTCCCTCGAGGGCCACCTCGCTGCCTTCAAAACTTTTCTCAAGTGTTTCTCTTTCCAGGGAACTGTAGCTTCCTACAACCTCTGTCCCCAGCTGCCTCCTCAGTGGAGGCTGCAGGTGCCGCTCCCCAGTGACACAGGAGTGACAGACCTCGGGCAAGTCCCCGTGTGTATCTGCCACACACCCCGCCCTCCGCTGTCAGCAGGTTTCGTTCCATCCCCGAATGTGTTAATTAAGGGGTCCTCTCAATTGCACTGATGTCTTGTTGGAACATTTTTAAATTTGGCTAAAATATCTCCTGATCCCTTGAAGAAACATCCTCCTAAGAGCGGAAAGTGAAAGGCTTTCCTCTCCCTGTTTTCTAGTTGCTCCATTACTCATCTCTGCTTCAGATCTGCGTACAGCGCGATGTTCTGCTCGGCTCCCGCCCTGTGGAAGGGGGCCTGTAACTGCCTTTGCAGAGTTACCAGGACCATTAGTACGACTGCGAGCTCCTGGGCGGGGGGAAGGGGTGACCTTTGTGACGTTTTGGTTTCACGTCCCGCGCAGAGCAGAGAAGGGGGCTGTGGAGAGGTCGTGGCGAGGTGGTCCCAGCGTCCCCCCTCCCCTGGCCTCGGCCACTGTGGCATAGTTGAGCGGACGCTGCACCCGCCCCAGAAAAGCACGAGATCCCGAGGGGGGCCTGGGAATAAACTCACGGCTTATCTGAGAAAGCCCTCAGTGTTGACCAAGGGAAGGGCTCTGATAATAGTTTCTTAACTCCAAACCCGCCACTCCCGTAAACGTCCAGCCTGAAGCAGGCTTGGTCACAAAGAAGAAATTTCCAGAACACTTGCAGGCGTCCTGATGCTTTGACTCGGCGTGGGTCGAGAACAGGGCCCGCGACCTTTCCTCTGAGAAGGATCTGAGAGCAAATGTCTTTTCTCTGTTGAGGCTGCTCATCCCTTTGCTGTAGCCAAGGGGCCACAGACAAGACAAGACACACCGCGTGGGTGTTCTGTGAAGACGTCACGGAAGCAGTGACTGTGGGGCCGCATCTGGCCCGGGGCCGTGGCTGGCCGGCTCCCGGCCCAGGAGAGCCAGAGTACTCGGGGCTCTGCCTCTTCCCGGGGACTTTGCCCCCCAGCCAGCCTCCTGGATGGGACAGGCCGGGGAGGCCCGCTCTCTGCCCTTTTCCCAGCCCCTGCCCACGCTCCTCCGCACTGAATCCACTGCTCCTCTTTCCCCGGGGTCCTCAGAGCACGGGTGGGCTGGCCAGGCCGGGCCGGGCTCCACACCCACAGAAGGGCCCTGTCTTTCGGGTGACCCGAGCGGCTGAACTAGTCACTGAAATGACCCTATTCTCCTCCAAGCCTAGATTTCACGGGATGCACTTCTGAAACGTGAGGCATGCCCTCCACAACCCAGATCCCAGGTCTCCCGGGTACCGACGAGCATATTCTAACCTTACACAAATGTGGTAATGCAGTGATCTGAATTAGGGATGCCCGGGAAAGAGAAATAGTTACTCACTGATTCTAAACCTCAGCTCACGTTGGTTATCTGCGTGCGTGTTTTTAGTTGGTAAGCGATGTGTTTGGAAGTTGACATCGTTTTCACGCCACCTTTGCTCTATCGCATGTTCAGGACACCAGGAGGCAAAGGGACATGAACTCTGACTCTGCACGTGTCCTCCCGACAGGGGAGCAGAAGGAAGCCCCGTCCGCCACGTAGCAGCCTTGGGAGAACTACTGAAGAGAGACGCTTGGAACAAGCAACGTCCAAGTTCCTCCTCTGCGGGTGCGTCCGGTGTGAGGGGTACAATCCCTCCGGGCGTGTGCGAACTGCAGACACTGGGCGGGGGTGGGCGTCCTCCGGGACCAGCAGGAAGCCATCGGGCTCCTCTCCCCTCCCTCCTGCGCCGGCCTGTTCCCTCCCGTCTGACCTGGACGTGCCCACAGTGTCCATGTTCCTTGCAAACCAGCCTCCTCTGCTTACCTGTCAGTGCGGAGGTTCCCAGAGGCCACCCCTGGAAAAGAGGCTCATCCCAGCATCCCCGCATCTCAGGAAGGCCCTACGGAGTCGCCACTAACCGGCCCCTGGATGGAGCTACGGTGTCTGTGGCCACACGTCACGTTCGGGGGGGAGAAGGGAATTGGCCGGTCCTGAGCCGGCATCCACCACCATCCAGCTGGTGTGGGAACGGTGGGGACCATCCTGAGATCAGTGCGGCCGTTTCCAGAGGAGGTCTGGGCACCCCAAACCGTGCCTCTCCGGAGCATCCTCTCGCCTATACACCCGGTTCCTGAAACAACAAGGTATCCAGGTAACCAGTGACCTCGGTCACGTCAGAGCCCGTACAACGTACTGGGTCCCTGGTTCCGTTCAAGGGGAGGGATCCTCGGACCCCGTGTGCTGGGTGTTGTCCCAGCAGAGGGTGGGGCGCTCTGGGCCCCTCCAGGTCCAGCTCAACCCAGCGCCCGCGCGCTGTCACTGAGTCACAAAGGTGCAGGGTGGGGCTTTGACTGGCTGAAGATAACTGGCCTGCTCCTATCACGTAAGTTTAAACATTGCCATAATCACCTTCTCCACCAGAAAGCTCGGCAGGAAGAAACACTTCAGCCCTCAAGGCTCCACCCTGCCCTGGGTGACCCTCTGTCCTGTGTGCCGGGGACCATCCCAGTCTTCGCACTAAGAGCCCCACGTCAGCGGCAAGCCGGACGGCTGGTCACCCTGCCTACATCCAGCCACACACGGTGTAGCTGGGAGTGGCTGTTCCGCTTCTCCTCCAGGTGTGGGAACCAGCGCCAAGTGTGGTCCTGGAAGCAACCTCAGGGCCGCAGGTTCCCGAGGGGGGCTGGCTGTCCCCCTGCCTCTTTCCCCAGCAGGGGCAGCTCCTTCTCTGCTTCCCAGAGGCCGGCCCTGCAAGGACTTAGATTCTGGGCACCAGGCCTGAGTTCTGCCCCCCTGGCCGGGCACTGGTGCTCGCAGGACCCCCCTCCTGGGGTTAGAGCTGGGGTGCTGCCCCAAACAGCCAGCCGACCCCCAGAGGCGCCTGCGGGTCTGGAGGGGATGCTGGGGTCACAGCCTCCACCACTGACGTCACCATATGGGGGACACCCCGGGACCTGGTTTTATAAGAAAATGTACTCACTTCCCCCTCCAGGGAAAGCGTGTATCCCGAGACACAAGACTTGTCTTTCTTTGAATAAATGGGTGTGTTCTCAGGGCCAAGGGCAGTGCGCAGCACTTAGGAGGCTCCTAACGAGTGAGCGCAGATGGGTCAGAGGGCCCTAGTCCATCCAGGCCCGTCCCAGCCCCCTGGTGACTGGAGGGCAAGCCCGCGTCTGCAGGGCTCTTGGGGTCGAGACTCTCTGCCTCTGGCGCAGGGTGACTCCAGAGTGTCCTGCCAGGGGACGGCAGTGCCTCCTCTTGGACAGCCTAGGGGGGAGGTGCCTGAAAGCACCGCTCTGCGGGTCCGCTCCGACCGGGGCGGTTAGACGCGGCTTCCGGGTGACACCCCGCTCTTCCGCTCCGTGCCCTCCGCTGCCTGAAGCTGGGGGCTCCGATGGTGACACCTGCTGCCAGACACAGCTACTCCCCCTTCTCAGCACACAGGTTACTGAGCACCTGCTGTGTGCAGGCCGTCTGAGCCCTGAGATGTCTCCTGGACCCCGCGAGCCCATCGACAGCCTTCTGGTCAAGGCCCAGCTCACGTCGCTTCCCGGCTGGGAAAGAGCCCGGCCCCTCCAAACCCCGAGGTGCCTGTCCACGCTGCTCGCGGATGTGCCCAAGAGCCCACATGCCGGACCCGGCGGGCGGCCTCTGGTGGCTCTGACGGGGCACACGACGGAGTACACGGCCCCAGACCTCTGGTGGCTCTGACGGAGCCCACGACGGAGCACACGGCCCCAGACCTCTGGTGGCTCTGACGGAGCACACGACGGAGCACATGGCCCCAGAGTGCGTCTGTTTGCCTGGGCTTCCCTTGCCCTTTTTAGAGGAAGAAACAGAAATGTTATGGTGAACAGGCTTCCTGAGCCCGGGGCGGTGTGGGGGCGGGTGCCCAGGAAGGGGGAAAGTCCTGGGGGCTGGGCCGCTGTTCCCGCGGAGCCTGAGGCCTGGTGCCCATCAGGCGGACCAGGCGGCAGCTGCGTTCCAGCTCCGGGTCTGGCTCTTGCCCCTAATCCTGGTGCTCTCTGGAGTCCGGCTGCTGCCCACTGCCCCTGGACTGTCTGGGGGGCTTGATTTCTTGGGGTGTCACCAGCTGCACAAGGAGGCAGCTTTGGGGCCAGGGGTGCCGGGGTGTGGACTCCCAGTGCAAAGATGGCACAGTCCTGGGGGGCCATCCTGAGCACACTGCACGGCTGCCAGCATCTGAAGGATAAGCCCAGAGCGAGGGCGGGGGCCTGGGGACCAGTTTCATCGGGCTGTGTGGGCCCCGGGAGGTGAGGCGGGAACCCCAGAAAGGAGAGCCTGCAGGCGGGAGGCCTGGCCTCGACGCGCCCTTTGGACGGCAGAGCAGACGCTCCGGGACCCTGCAGACCATGCCCCACCCTGGCTCCCAAACTTCTGAGCGGGTCCCTGGGAGGCCCAGCTGTGAGGGGGGTGTCCCGGGGCTGAGGTGCCCGTCCCTGTCACTGTCCACACTGGCTCCTCCATGTGACAGGTGACAGAGGGGCTTGAGCCAACAGATCCGAGCGATTTATCTTTTGAAAAATGGAAAAGAGGGAAAACGCAAGTCACCGCCACTGGGCACAGGGACACTGGCGCTCGTTACGTTTGTCTCTGGTTTATCATCACAGGCCGGGCCGCCGAGGATCCACCAGGTCAGCGTCCAGGTCCTGCGTGACTGGGGAGAGTCCTGCTCTCACCTTTCCGGGACAGGTCAGTGTCACCGCCCAAGAACGTCGGCCACCGAAGGGAAGGAGGCCGCGTCTAGAGGCTCCTATGGGGACGCGGCATTTAAAATTCCCTGCAAAGTGCCGCATAAACACCCAGAAACTAGCTTTCAGTTCAGCGCTGGATGTTGGGAAATGCAGTGCAAGCACCTTCGTTCACCTTTGAGACACTCTGTGCCCAGGTGGGAGGTGGGCTGCGGTCTGACTGAGCACGTGGACACACGCGTGCCCCCAGAGGGAGGGACCGTGGCTGCCAGGCCCTCGGGCGGGGTGGGCGGTCTGCTTGCTCCCTCCCATCCTCACGTCTGATGCGTCCAGCGCGTGTGCCTCCATGTAAATCCTGTGCCACGTGGTGATGTGGCTGTGACCACAGACACGCCACGAAGCCCATCCGTGCAAGAACACGGAACGGCCTCGCTGTGAGTAGACTTCTGCACTGGAGAAAGAAACCCTCCCAGGAGGAGGGGTGCTCTGGGCTGGGGAGGCTGGTGGGACGCCTCCTCAGGACCAGGTGGAGCCCTTTCCAGAGCGTTCCACACACAGACCACTACGGCTAAGTAGACAGGAGAATGCAGGAAGGCATGTCCTGTCCCAAAGGGCCGACTTCGGGGTTCCTGGGTTTCGCTGTCAGCTCAAGTTAGTTGTGTTTCCAAGGAAGTTATGACGGAGACATCTTCCTCTGTGAGTCTCTCTGTCTGTCTTTGTTTCACCTTCAGGACGTTTTCCTTCTGCTCGTCCAGCTTCACCAGCTACTGACCCTGACGGACAGAGGATAGAGGGAGAGTCAGCCACACACGCACACACACACACCCCAAAACTGGATGCACACGCAGTGGGTAGTGAGGGATTCTCCCCAAAGTTGCTGCATCTTCCACAGCCCCACGCTTGTCTGTCCTTCCAGCTGTAGATGACACGTCTGTCTCCTCTGCCCTCCAGCCGGACGAGCAGGGGCTTTAGGCCAACGTTGCTCTGGACCAGCCTTGAACCTCCTGCTAGAGGAGGCCAGCCTGCCCGCCCTCTGTGGCCGAGTGAGTGTCTCCTACGTGGATGGGACCCTGGAATCGGACTCCTGGCCCAGCATCTTACAGCCTGCCGCTAAGCGATGGGGAAATCATTTATTTAAGCTACGAAGTGAGGTGCCAGTGTGAGGGTCCAGCTGCTGTCTGTGTAGCGTCTTTACTTCCCTGGCACTTGGGAACCTCGCAGGGCTCTCACGCTCTGCCTGAGCCACAGGGCTCCTGCCCTGTCCCCGCAGTACAGCACTGCGCACATCACCGTCCTGACCGAATCCACCTCCGGGAACAGTGGCCGGGAGGTGCCCTGCTGTGTCCATGTCCGTGACCGGCGCTTGGCCTTGGCCAGGACCAGACTCAGGACTCAGGGCGGGCTCTCCCTGGTCACCTGGGAGGAACTTACCCTGTTAGCTTATGGCTTTAAGGGCTTTCGTTGTGCTTTTTACCGCTGAATGCATTTTTAAGATAACAGGCTAGCCTGCATTTAGAGAGCTTTCTGAGGGTGGCTGTGTAAATTAAGAGGGATAAATCATTGCAAGTTATCATTTAACGGCTCTGGAAGGAGCCTGGCCTCTGCTGGGATGGCAGGCCCAGGCCTGTCCCCTTGGAACTAACTGCCTGCCTGGGAAGCATCAGATCAGGAGGCGTGAAGAGGTGCTTTGGAACATGTATTCTCTTCAGACTCCCCTTTGCCCTGTAGTTTGTTCCACTCCACGTGAAACGCTGGGGGACGCCCAGGGCCGGGAAGCAGAGGCCACGTCTGCAGGCTGAGAATATGCTGCCGTCCCCTGGCTCCCTGTCCATCCAGGTGATGGTGGCGGCGAGAGCAGCTCCTCTGAACCTGGAATTTGCTATTTCCTTGAGAAAGTTGATGGGGTAGCTCCCTGCACCCTCGCTGTGTGAATGGGGCTGGTGGCCCCCTGGCCACCACGTCGGGTGGTCCTGACCCGGTGGTGTCATTGTTTGCTCCTGTCTCTTTGGTGTCAATCTTATCTCCCCAGTTTCCTTGAGGATAAGAGTCATGAGGAACTCTTGTGGATTATTTAGCAAGTCCTCTGAAGGTGATCCGTGGTGAATCCATGGGTGACCAGACATCGATAAAACCCGTATCTTTGTGTTTCTGGTCAAGATTTTGTCCACTCAGTGCAGATGTGGAATCACCCCTGGACGGGAAGCCACCAGGGGGCTGGAATTCCTGCACGCTCTGGTCACTCCTCAATTAAGGACGGACTCAGAGTCAGACTCTAGGGGGTGCCCGACCTCGTGGGGCCCTCGGGCGAGCATGTCACCAACTGGTGACCCTGCTCCCATCCTAACTAGGGCGTAACCATGGGAAGTGCCTCCCCAGGGCCCGGCCCAAAGTGGGTGCACTGCATGCTGGGAGCTGGAGCACTGCATGCTGGGAGTTGTAGGGCTGTCATCCTGCCACCCCATCTTCTCCTTCTTTTTCATTCTGAAGCCTGCTTACACAACCCCACCCAGCAATTTCCTCTCCGTTTACCTGCCTTTATCTCTAGCAACTTGTTCCCATCCGTCGAGCCAAGGAGCAGCCTCCTCTCACAGGGCTCTGCCCGCAGCCTCCCTGGTCCCTCTTCTGCAGGGACACCACAAATGGGCGTGGCTCCCCTTTGATCCTCTCCTTGGTTTGAACCTGTTTTCAGATTGAGTCTCCCAGCAGACGTGTGTGCTTCATCACTTCCTTTGCCCCCCCTGTGGCCTCCCACCCATCCTCCGTCTGACTCTCTGCCCAGGGACACTCCAGGGCAGCGGCTGCCACCTGTAAGCCAACATCAGCTCACAGTGTGCGGCTGAAAAGACAAGTCAGATGAGGCCAGAGAACGTCCGGGACTCGGGCAGCTGGCTCTCCCGGAAGCCAGAGGCCAGGCCGCTCGGGGTCTGTACTGAGGGCGGGACGGAGGGAGGTAGTGGAGGTGGCACTGGCAGGTGTGACCGGCTCTCCAGTCGCCACCACCCCGCATGGGCCTCCCTGCCCAGGACCTGGAAGCATCAGCTCTGTGACAGAGCGAGGAGAGCTGAGCATGAAGGTGGAGAAGCTCAGGCTGGGTTCGGAGCGCGAGCGCTGCCCGGCTGTGCACTGGCCCCCAGCCTGGACCCTCTTCCTTTACAGGGTGACTGAGAGCAAGTGACCGAGCGCGGACAAAAGTGCCTGGTGATGTGGGCCGCCCTCATGGGTCCCCGCGTGGTCGCACCAGCGTCTGTCCTTACGCCCCCTTCTCTGACCCCTGCGTGTCACAACTCTGATCACGGGTCTTGGAGGCCGAGCGCTCTTGCTGTGCGGGTGGCCCGCTGGGAGGAGAGTGAGGCCCGCGAGGGACCGGCTCTCCTGCCGCAGGGCTCGCGGGTGGCTCCTGCACGTCGGCCCTTGCCGCCAGCTCCCACTGCAAAGGGGCTCCCACACCCACATGCCGCCGCAGCTGGCACGGCCCCAGCATCAACAGAGGGTGCGTTTGCCTTGTTAATCACCGATACGAAAACACACGGCCTCTGTCTCTGTTGTTCTGTGCCTCGTTCACACCCTGTATAATTTTATACTGTTCCTACAGCCCTGACATGCCCTAAGCTACAACTGACATTGATTCGCTGACTTGTAAAGTGTGTTATCTGCTCTCCATGTCTGCACGGAGTTCCCGGAGAGCTGCCCGGGCGGTGACTCAGGATGGGAGAGCGGTGCAGGGGAAGGTCAGACGCGGGTGAGGGCCAGTGACTTAGGGGCTCCTGCCGGACCACGTGTGGGTCCAGCCCTCTTGTGGATTTCTGTGGGAGCCACTCATGGCAATTTCTAGCTAAATCCCTGCCTTTGTTTCCTACGTCAGATAAATTCCATTAGAATTAGGTGATTCTATGTCTCCTTTATAAGACAAGCCCTTCACACGGGAGTCATGACAGCACGCTTGACAAAAACACACGTGGTCTGGAGACAGTCCCTGCAGAGCTGGAACTCCTGCAAACGGGAACATTTGTTGGTGAAAAGGCAGCTACGTCACCACGAGCACACAAGGTCCTTGAGAAAAGGTCCAGCGTGAAGGGTCTCTGAGCCTGCGTGTATCAGTGTAGGAGTCAAATGTCGGCTGAAGAAAATAAAACCATGTGACGTATGTGCAAAAAAGTTTTTAAAGTTCCTAAGTTTAAAAATGCAGCACAATTTGCTAAATTTCTAATTGAAACTAATGTTTGTAACTTCTCTTTGAGTTAAGGTTTTGGTGATAACTCACTTCCTCAATTGCAAGTCGTGTTTCACCCGCCCAGTTAACACGTCTGAGAGGTGGCATTTCCCAGCCACCGTGCAGGTGTCCTGGGCCCGGAAAATGGGAGCAAATGTGCCCTGGGTCCTTTCCAGGCTGAGGCAGCTCAGGCTCGTGGGCCAGCCCTTCATGTCCTCTCCCGTGACCTCGGGGGTCGTGCCCTCCAGGTAGCATCACCGTCAGAGGAAGGAACTGTGATGTGGAAAAGGAATAAACTGCTATCATGTTGGTAAGACTTGGGGGCTTATTTGCTACTGCAGCATAGCTGAGTCAGTCCTATCTAATACACACATTTAAGGTAAAGAGAATTTTTCTACATGCTTTTGAGGACCACAGATTGGAGAGGAAAGTATTCTGTTAACATCAGAATAGTGTTCAAATTAAAACTTCTGCCCTTCCTTTTGCTTCCATTTTCTATTTTATGTGAAAATATGCACTGGAGGGGACCGAGGAGGCAGCCAGTGTGGTGGGGTCAGGACACTTGTTCCTCAGCCCACGGGGTCATTGGTTTTACATCCAGATCTGGAGGGTGAGAGGGGTAGGGTGGGGATCTGGGTGGGGCGTTTGTCTGTAAGCCATCCCCACCCCCTACTGACAACTCTTCTCTAGAACAATCACTGCTTTCAAGAGTTTCCCATCTACCACTGAAACTAAAATAAACAGAATTTATATCTCAGGAATTCTATGACAATGATTATAAAATGTTTCATATTATAATATTAGCTTTTATAATGATTATAAAGTGTTTCAGATTTAATATTAGCTTTCTCAGTGGAAAAATATGTATTTTAAAGGTAAAAGCATCTAATTACAGATAAAGATATAGGTATAGAAATATAAAAGAACTGATAAAAGAACTGATGAAGTGGGGCTGGTGGAGTCACAGGGGAAGAGTTAGCAGGGGTCCTTCTCAGCCACCCCCAGACCCACCGCCTTCCTGGGGCCGACATGGAACCTCTTTCTCTTTAGCCCTTTCTGAGTCTGGGTCTCTGGAGAAAAAGAAAAGAAAAAAGCGTGTCTCCACTGAGTAGTGAAATGGGAAAACTGAACAGGAGACGAAGAGAGAGAAACCAGTGTCAACTCCTCCCACCAAAGCATCGGGAGGAAAACACCTTTCCTTCTATTACGATGGGTCGGGCCTGGCCTGGCCTTTCCTTCTTTGAACACGTATAGCAACAAAGGCAGTTCTCTGCTGCATCGGGGAGATTTTGTTTTGCTTTCTGTGTATGGTTCTCAAAAGCAAGGTTTTGGTTTTTTTTTTAAATTATGGTCAGATACACATTTTAACCATTTTTAAGTGACAGTTCAGTGGTGTTAAGTGCATTCGTAACGTGGTGCAGCCACCCCACCATCCGTCTCCAAAGCGTTTTCATCTTGCAAAGCTGAAACTCTAACCCCATTAAACACAAAGTCCCCACCCTCACCAGCCCCTGGAAACCACAGTCCTACTTTCTGCCTCTGTGACTCTGACTCCTTCATGGACCTCATATTAGTGGAGTCCTGCTTTTCTGGACGATTTGTCCTCTCTGACTGGATTCGTTCATGAGCATCATGTCCTCAGGGTTCACCCTTGTTGCAGCCTCTGCCAGGATTTCCTTCCTTTTTCAGGCTGAGTGATATTCTATTGTGTGGGTGGACCACCTTTTGTTCATCCGTCATCTGTTGTTGGACACTGGGGTAGTCTCCACTTTTAGCTGCTGTGAACCCACGTCCACAAATATCTCCTCAAGACCCTGCTTTCAGTTCTTCGGGGTCTTTGCCCAGGAGTGGGGTCACCGTATCATGCAGTGTGTCTACGTTTTTGAGAAACCGCCAGACAGTTTCCACAGCAGCTGCACCGTCTCACTTCCCACCGTCCGTGCACCAGGTTCCAAAGGGTTTTAGCTTTATCTGCTTCTTGTCCCCTGGGTCAGCAGCTCAGGGGGGCAAACACTCTGCCCTCACGTTATTCAAACCAAGAGGCTGTGTGTACTGCCGTCAGGCTGCGCTCTGTCCGCGCCCAGCACCCTCGGCGGCCCCACGGTTAGGCATCCTGCTCGGACGTGCTCACCACACAGCATCTTCCTCTGCAGACAGGAGCCTCAGAGTGTGAGCTGGACGGAGACCATGAGGAAGGAGGACAGTACAGAGGCCCCGGCCTCAGACCTCGGCGCTGCCTGTGAGGGACCTGCAGGCGAGGGGAGCTCACGGTGACTCACAAGCTGCTGGGGCACCAACGACTGTGGGCCCCTTCGGGACCGCACGTGCCTCAGACAAGCAGGAAAGGAAAGAAAGCACACCCAGAAAATCTCCATCTTGTTTATTAAAAAACAAAAGCACAACCTTCCAGGAGACTTAATACTCTAGCAATGGGAATTAGCGTTTTCTGATGGCAAATGAGAGTCCCACCCTGAACCCAGCACTTGGGGACGTCCGAGGCGCACCGGACACCCCCTCGTGGCACCTCGGGAGGAGTGGGCAGCCGCGTACCCTGCAGGCTCGAGCCCACGGCCTCAGGCACAGAGCCCCCTCCCGCTCTGCCTTCCCACCTGCTGGCCTGTCCCTGAAGCCCACCTCCTCCCGGGGGATGTGGGGATGGAGGCTGGGCCGGGATGGGCACAGCCTATGTTTTAATTCTTCAAATCGCTGCTCCACTTGTGGGCTTACGTGCCAACGTTGCCCAAAGCAGTCGAGTCCCTGCTGGCCGGATATTTTGAGTATCTCCTCACATGGCAGGAGTGTCGGTGGCCGTCAGGTCCAACAAGGCCAGTGCCGGCCTGCGAAAGCGGCCGTTAGCCGGAAGGCCCAGGAGCAGGCTTTCAGCAGAGGTTGGTCACACAGTGTGATTGTCTGGGGCTTTCAAGTATTCAGATTTCCAGGCCACACTCAAGACCAATTTAAAAAAAAAAACAAAGATCTCTGAGCTCAGAACCCAGGCATCCATATTTTTGAAAACTCCCGGGTGAGTGAATGCACGTGGCAGTCCAAGGGTCGTCGCTCTGAGACTGCAATCACGTACCACCTGGTGATGCCTTCCAAGGTGTGCTGTGATTTTCACTTAAGGAGAAGTAGTAAATGACTTTTCCTTAAAAAATGTACATCTTTGCAATGACAGAACTGGATGAATACAGACAAGATGTTAGCAAGAGTGATCTTTACATAGCAGTGTGGGCTGGTGGTTGATTTTCTTCTGTTTTGGTTTGCTTCTTTATATATTCAAAAGCCCCTCAGCAGTGAACCTCTAGTCATTGGGAATAAAAATAATACTTATGAATAACTAATTTCAGATTTGCTCATGAAGGAGAGACCATGTCATTTGAAGCCAGGAGCGTCGTCCTAGGATCTGGAGGGACCAGTGTGACATGGGTCCCCTGCGGTCGGGTGTGGATGCCCCCTAACCCCCGTATGGACCCGTGTGGGAGAACGGTGGGCTCACCACCCTAAACACCAGTGAGGACCCCCAGCGCGGCGGGGCCCCTGCTTCCAAATTTGGCCGTGACCTCCCGGGTGACCCACGGGAGGTCGTGGCCCCAAGCTCCTTGCCAGTCCCTCCCCAGGGAGCGTTTGCTGGGATGACATTCAAAAGCGTTTCCTAAGGAAGGGTCGGTTATGAGACTGAAGACACTTGACACCTGCTGAGACATCACAGATCCATGTCCTGAGGCCCCAGGAGACCCTGCTGCTTTACCCTTGACTTTCAAGGCTATCGAGGTGGACTCCACGTCAGCCTCGTCCTCCACAACGACCCTCTGCAGCCAACACGGGATTCCTGGTCTCTCCTCTTACCCATAACTGCCTGCCTGCCCGTGTTGAGTACGTGAGGTCATGGAAGCAGCCTCTGTGGGCCGCCACACTCCAGGATGCACGTCTACACATTTCGCTTTCCCAGAGCGAGGGCAATATATCAGGAATCCTGGGTGCCTGTGAGTGGGGCCCCGGGTGGGCTGGGCGCACCAGGCCAGGAGAGGCAGCTCCTAAGGGCGGAGAGGAAGGGGGGCTGGAGACGTTAAACGGAATATTGGACCCAGTGTTGAGATGAAGGTTGGCATGGAGACGGGCTCTTCCCCAACTGTTCCAGCTCCCACTGGATGGGGCTGGGGCGAGAGAGGAAGGAGGCCGCATCTGGGCCTTGTCTGCACACTTCAAAGGGCTGCTAATGAGTCTTCCTATTGTCTGAGTCCTTGTCTACACCTGGGTTTTGCAACCTGGGCACTGAGGAGACCACAGAGCTGGAGCCCTTCACAAAAGGGCAGGGCAGCAGCCCGATCCGTGGGATCAAAGGCTGACTGTCAAAGGCAAACGAGCTTCATCTGAAGGCCTCCTCCAGCTGCAGAACAGGGAAGGATGCACATCCCGGTGGGTGGGGCGGGGGGTTCAAAGCCAAGTCGAAATTAAGTCCTATCAGGATAACCCCTTACCCACCGCCAGACACCCTGACATGGCAGGGACACGGAAGAGAATTACCTGAACCTCCCCGGCATGTCTGTTCCCTACTGCCCCCCCATCTCACAGGCCAGCCCTCGTCAACCGGGGGCAAGGTTGGCAGTTGACACCGGCCACATCTGGGGACGGGCTCGATCATCACAGTGGGAGGAGGGGTTACTGCCACCGGTGGGTTCAGCTCAGCATCCTGCAGGGCACGGGCGGTCCCCACGGTGGAGAATCACGGGGCTCAAAATGTCCCAAGTGCCAGCCGGGCATCCCTCCACGGAAGGAATCAGAAGAGCAGCATTCGTGTCCCTGATGTGTCTTCTGAGAAGTTTTGATGTTTGCTGACGCCTCCGGGGAGTTTCACCATCACGTCCACCACCCCACACTCTACACTGAGCCTCCCAGGCCTCAGAAGCATCTCCTGAGTCTCTTACGAGCCTTCTTACGGGGCTTTACATCTCCGATGTCATTGTTCTTCCTTTGTTACCTTCATGATCTATGTTCTTCTCTTCTGTCTGATCTCATTTTCCCTCTATAAATTCTGTCATTTATTTTCTCATTTTTCTTCTGCTCCTTATGATTAGAAATCAAACCCAAACTCACAGTAAAACACCCCAGGCTCCTGAAACAGAGTTGAGAGGAATGTCCCGACTGGAGGAGGGAATGTGAGACTCATATCTAAAATTAAGCAACACATGATCACAGCTCTGGTGGGTGACTGACTGCAATAGGAGACATTTTACTCTTCTTGTTGCTGCTAAGTCAGCGATCAAATCACTTTCCATGTAAGGCCACCAAGGGCAAAGGGACTTTTTGCCACAATTGAGACTTGATTCCTTGAGTGGGAGGGGAGGGGTTTCTCTCAGGATCACATGTCACTGGAGAGTTGTGAATAACTGTTTAAATTGGGGGCAAAAACGTAAAGTTTTAAAAACTCAGAAAGTGCGTAAGGATTTGTGTGAGGTTCTCTCAATTCCATCAATAAAGTCACCACGAAGGACTCCATGAAGACAGCAGTGCTCAGGTCAGGGGCGGGTTTCAAAAGAATGAACATCTGGGTTATAATCCAGCTCACAGCCCAGGATGCGCCAGTTTGTGGAGACAGAGGCAGTATAGGTTCGAGACACATGCGTGTGAAGGGGTAGATTTGTCCATCAGTGACGACATTCAGATACAAAAGCGACACACCCATGAGAAAATGTTCTGGAACCCAACACAGGCCTTCATTCTTCTCCCAACACAAAGGGGTCACGTGGCAACAGCACAAGCACGGCGCACCGTGTCCAGGTGGGTGTGGACTGCGCTGTCCGTGTGCTGGCAGAAGCGCCACCAACTCCCGCCAGCATCTGGGCGTGACGGTGGCGGGGAGACGCCGGAAGCGACCAGGGGGCTGAGGGAGGGCAAAGCTCCATCTCTTTTGCTTGCATGTGGCCGTGGACGACCAAGGACACTGACGGGAGCGCGTGGCCATGGCAGTGACTAAGTCTGTGTCTGTGTCTTCAGACGGAGGCCTCACTTAGGAGCAAAGGCAGGCCAAGACTTCCCGATGCCTGGCCTAAAAAATTACACAGAAAGTCTGGCTTGACCTACAAGGCGGTCGTCCCCTCCGGGCACTCACAGTGACCACCTGGGCACCCAACGGCACAGACGCTCCGGGTGGGTCGCCCAGATCAGCACTCGGGCGACTGGAACCAACGGCTGCTCTCCTCGCAGGCTGAGCAGTCACTTGGTTTCTCACTTTCTTTGTCTCTGTCTTCTTTCAAAATGCCCATGAAATTCCATCCTCCATTGTCACAGAAGGCTGGGGAGCATGAACGGCAAGGATATTGCAAAAGGACACCATTAAAAACATGGGAGGGGAGTCTGCGGGATAACGGATACATGTATACGTACGACTGAGTCCCTTTGCTGTGCACCTGAAACTACCACAACACTGTTAATCGGCTATACTCCAATATAAATTAAAAGTTAAAAAAAAAAAAGAAAGAATCTTCTGGAACCCCACCCCCCAAAATATATGAGTTGCGTGTCACAGACTTAAAATCCCTCATCTTAAAAATCTATGAAAAGGGACCTCCTGGCGGTCCAGTGGTTAAGACTTCCCCTTCCAATGCAGGGGGTGCGGGTTCGATCCCTGGTCGGGGAGCTAAGATCCCACAGGCCTTGTGGCCAAAACACCAAAACATGAAACAGAAGCAATATCGTAACAAATTCAAAAAAGACTAAAAATTGCCCACATCAAAAAAAAAATCTTAAAAAAAAATAATCTATGAAAAGATAGGTTTCACAGCCAAGTGCAGAGGCATGAATAGAGTCCGAGCTTCAACACAGAGCGCTGCAGGGTTCACAGCATCGCGGCCCGGAGGTGAGGGGGATGGGTGTGGGGCTCGGGCGTCACCCTGGCATTACATTATCCCCCAGGGACGTGAAGTCAGGCATTTTAGGCATTTCTTTTTTTCTATTCACAAAAGAGACGCTTTATTTTTTTGTCCAGTTTTATTGAGATATAATTGACAGACAGCTCTGTATAAGGTGTCGTAGAGTGTGACGGTCTGACTTACCACATCGTGGAGCGGTCATCACGGTAAGTTTAGGGAACATCCGTCATCTCATGTAGATGCAAAATCAAAGATATAGAAAACAATGCGCATCTTTCTTTGTGCTGAGAACTCTTAGAAGTTACTGTCTGCAGAGTACTGTCTTTGTTCCAGCCTGCCCACGTCGGTAAGAACGCGGATCAGACCGCAGTGCCCCTCCGCTCAAAACCTTCCACGTCCTGCCTTCTCACCAGCACAAACTCCAGCATCCTTACAGGACCGACAAGGGCCTTCCTTGGAGATGCTCACTCAGTCTTGGCTCCGGGTAAGAGCACCTGAAGGGCTTTCAGGAACAATAAAGCCTGGCTCCGACCACAGCTGAGTCACCATTTCCAGCAGCCAGGCCCGGGAATCAGCATCTTTTACAAAAGCCCCACAGTCATAGACTCTAACCATCGAGAGCACACGGAAACTGTCAGCTCTGTTCACTGCTGAGTCTCCAGAGCATACAGCAGGCGCTCAATAAAAGCTTATCAGATGAACATGTCAAATGAAATGTACACATCCTTGGGATGGAGAGCAAAGATAATGCTTATTTTGCTAAACCCTGGAGCTGAGCATTTGGGGCTCAAAATGCTGGAATTTTATTCAAATCCTCTACGTATTTTCCTGTCCTTAGTTTTGAATTCCTTGACTCTAACGCCTAAAAGCTTTACGTCTACTCAGCTGCTAGGTACCCAACACAAACACCTGGTGTTCCCAAGCACCAACAGAAGTCAACATTCATTTTCTTTCACAGTCCCCCAAGGTTTTAATTTTTTTTTAAATTGAAGTATATTTTCCAGTGTTTTGAAAAATGAAAGATCAACCCTCGTCTACCATTTTGTCGCTGTCCTGAGTTCCTTTCATGATCCAGTTCACGCAAATTTACAAAAAGCACGGAAAACATGCTTTGCACGATAATAACGCTAATACTGTATTGATGACATTTTGTAGCAAGCACAGCACAAGGACTTTTGCACAGATGATCTGTAATTTGAAAAAGCGAAACAAAACGATCATGTACGTCACCGCAGTTTTAAAGGTGGAGAAACTGAGCTTCGAGTGTTTGGAAATAGCTTCCTTCCTATTTCCAGGAGGCCAGTATTTGCCCAGAGCCCGCGTGGTCAGCGCCAGCTGCCCCCTGAGCCGGCAAGTGGCCGCAAAGACCTTGCGCTTCTTCCCGCACCGAC